AGCATGCTAACCTCCTGGTACAGTTAGGGACTATCAGTACTTTATTTCTTACACACCAGAAACATGAAATTCACACAGCGGAACTATTCCCCAGGTACCTAACTGTGTGGTCTTTTATTGACTTGACTAATGAAGTCTCCTCCACATGGAACAACAGTTCCACTTAGATATGTCTGCCAAAATCTTAACCATATTTTTCATAAACAGGAAATGAAAGAAGGCTTTCTTGAATAGGGAAATAAAACCATCTAAAGATGTTCATTCTCCTCCAAGTTAAACAGTTTTCAACAAGATGTCAGCCAAACCACAGAGAGAGAGAGAGAGAGAGAGAGAGAGAGAGATATCAAATGCCATATATAATATAATCATTTTATCTATGAACAGTGACTGTTTTATTGATCTCTAACCAATCTTGATATCTTATTTGTTAGGTTAGAATGTTCAGGATCACACTGAATGGAAGACATTCTTTTGTTTTTTATTATTTATTTATTTATTTATTTATTTATTAACTTGTTTTGATTTTTTTTTTTTTTTTTTTTTTTTTATTTCTAGGAGAGAGAGAGAGAGACAGCATGAGCAGGAGAGGGTCAGAGAGAGAAGGAGTCACAGACTCCGAAACAGGCTCCAGGCTCTGAGCTGGCAGTCAGCACAGAGCCCGACGCGGGGCTCGAACCCATGAACTGCGAGATCATGACCTAAGCGAAAGTCGGACACTTAACCGACTGAGCCACCCAGGCGCCCCAGTTTCTTTTGTTTTTTAGATAAGATGTTCTCATCTGATTCCTAATATGAGAGGGAAAGCTTTCAAAATTTCACAAGTATGAGGCTTGCTGTAGGTTTTTTGTGAGATACCAACTATCCTCAAATTAAGAGAATTCCTACTCTAATTGTTTTGCCAAGTGTTTCTTTAAAATAATGAATGGAGGGGCGCCTGGGTGGCTTAGTCGGTTAAGCGTCCGACTTTCGCTTAGGTCATGATCTCGCGGTTCGTGGGTTCGAGCCCCGCATCGGGCCCTGTGCTGACTGCCAGCTCAGAGCCTGGAGCCTGCTTCAGATTCTGTGTCTCCCTCTCTCTGACCCTCCCCTGCTCGCGCTGTCTCTCTCTCTCCTAGAAATAAATAAAACATTAAAAAAAATAAAATTAAAAAAAAAAATAAAATAATGAATGGAAGGGTGCTTGGGTGGCATAGTCAGTTAAGCGTCTGACTTCTGCTCAGGTCATAAACTTGCCATCCGTGGGTTCGAGCCCTGCATTGGGCCCTGTAAGGATAGCTTGGAGCCTGGAGCCTGCTTAAGATTCCATGTCTACCTCTCTCTTTCTGCCCCTTCCCCACTTGTGTGAGTGCTCTCTCTCTCACAAATAAACATTTAAAATTTTTTAAAAATAATGTTAAATTTAATAGACACTTCCTTTTCTGCAACTTCTCCAAATACATTCATGGTTTCAATACCAATTGCTATAGACTGAATGCTTGTGCCGCTCAAAATTCTTATGTGGAAACCTAATTCCCAATGAATTGGTATTGGGATGTGGAGCCTTTGGGAGGTGATTAGAGGTCATGAGGACAGAGCTCTTAGGAATGGCATTAGTGACCTTATATAAGAGACCTTAAGAGATCGCCCTTGCCCCTTTGGCCCTGTGCGGACACAGTTAGAAGACAGCTCTATCTAGGATCCAGAAAGTGAGCTCTCACTGAATACAAAATCTACTGGCACTGCTTACCAGCCACCAGAACTGTGAGAGATAAATGACTACTGTTTATAAATCACCCAGTCATTGGTATCTGTTGCAATAGCCTGAACAGATTAGGATACTGATCTTAATAAAAATCACATTATATCAGAGTATAAATTAGTATAACACGTAAGAAAACCAATAGCCTTACATATGAAATTGGTATATATGCATACCTTATGAAATCCCAATTCCACTGTTCAGTACAATGCTTACACATGTGTACCATGTAAAAGAATGCTTCTAGTAACATTATTTGCAATGGCCCTCATACAGAAAAGAGTTAATATAGCAGGTTTAAAACTGATAACCTTAATAAAGGTTATTACAAAGTTGGGCCATCGGCTGGCACCTATGAATTTGGGCGATAAACAGTGTCCCATACAGATATAAAACTTTCCCTAACCGAAAAGGTAAAAGTACCCCAGTGTATATCAACAGATGAACAGAAAAGTAAAATGTGGTATGTACATGCAATGGACCTTTCAGCCAAAAAAAGTAGAAAAATCTGATAAATACTGTAACAGGGATGAACCTTGAGGACAATTATGCCAGGCAAAATAAGCAACAAAAAGACAAACGCTGTATGATTCTACTTATATGAGGTAGCTAGAGTAGTCCAGTAGAATGGTGGTTGATGGAAACTGAAGGGATAGGTAAGGAAAGGGGAGTTACTGGTTTAATGGCACAAAGTTTCAGTTTCGCATGATGAAAAGAGTTCCTGAGGTAATACATAGTGGTGATGGCTGCACAACAACATATACACTTAAATAACTGAATTGTACACTTAAAACTGGGGTAAGTTGGTAAACGTTATGTGTGCTTTTACCACCTACTGATGATATCATCAGGAAGAAAAAATTAACCTGAAAATGGCCATTTAAAGGACACAACTGGCTACATCTACATATAAATACTTCTATAGCTATAACAAAATTTGAATTTTTTTTTCTCAAATGAGGTCTGTCATTTTTTTTCTTTTACTCTTGAAATTATCTTCAAGCATAGACTCCACTTAAAGTTGAGGCCTCTGTGTGGCTCAGTCAGTTAAGCATCGGAGCCTTGATCTCAGGTCATGATCTCAGTTTTTGAGTTTGAGCCCCACATGGCGCTCTACACTGATGGCACAGAGCCTGCTTGGGATTCTGTCTCCTTCTCTCTCTGCCACTCACCTGCTTGTGCTCTTTCTCTCTCTCCCAAAATAAATAAACTTAAAATTATATTATATATATATGTATATAATATATAATTTTATGTATACAATATATATACATAAAGTTGTGCCTTAAAGTAATCTCTTACTAGAACTGGAATGACATTCTGATGTCTGCTTTGTTTACAATTATGTTCAAACTCATCTTGACATTTAAACCCATTTTTTTAGTCTAGACCCAGTAGTGTAAAATTTGACCAATAAATGTTTCCCCCCCCAAAACAAAAATTAAAAAACTTTCCTAACTGGTAAGGGTGGCTCACTGTGCCAGGACTGTTTTTGCAAACATTGCGGTTTCTGCTGAACATTAATTTTCCTTCTAGGAATCTGGAATTTTGGTAGGTGCTGGCGAAGAGTGCCTACGTACCTAGACTCTAGTAAAAACTTGGGGCACAGAGTCTCTATTAGACTTCCCTGGGAAAAACGTCACACAAACGTCACCACATTTTCACTGCTGGGTGAAGAGTGAGCTGTGTGTGACTATTCATACAAGAGAAAGAGCATAAGGAAGCCTGCACATGGATTCCACTAGATTCCACCCGTATCTTTCTCCTTTATGATCCAGCTGTGTAACCTTATGCCTCTGTAATAAATCTTAGTTGTGAGCACAGCTATATGCCACGTCCTGTGAATTCTTTTAAGGAATTTCAGAACGTGGGGCTGGTATTAGGTTCTTTGACTGCTTCAAAATGCAAACAACTCAAATGTCCATCAAGAGCAAAAAGTACAAATTGTATTCCTACATTAAAATACTATATAATATAGTAATGAAAATGAACAACCTAAAAAGAGAGAGAGAATGAACCTAAAGCTCTAACAATCAAAAGGGATTAAATCTGAAATGATGAAAAAGTCATTTATCACATTCTGCCTTGTATGAAAGTTGTTTCTTCTATGCTAGACTGAGAAATCTTTTTAGGTAGCAATTATTCAACTTTTTAGTCTCAGACTCCTAATTTATGTGGGTTACATCTATCAATAATCCCAATGTTAATAAAGTTCAGGATATGGAAATCATTTCTTAACAACCCATTTCAAAATAACTGTATTTTCTCCAAAAATGTAGGAAGAATGGCACTGCCATGACAGTTTTGTGAATCTTTTTGATGTCCGGATTATTAAAAGACAGCTGGGTTTTCTTATCTGCTTCTGCATTTAATCCATTTCAACAGCCTGTATCATGCAGCCTCGAGAAAATTCTACTGTATGCTCCTGAGAGAATAAGAATGAAAATGCAAGGAACATCTTAATATTATTATGAAAATAATTTTGACCTTCAGAACTTCCAGAAGGGGTCTGGGGGAATCCCAAGGGTCCCTGATTACACTTTAAGAACTACAACATTAAGCCTTAAAACCATGATTCACCTTTATCATAGGTGGAGGCTAACACACAGAAGCATGAATTGCTTTTTCAGGAGGTAAATTTTGAAGAATTCCATTTATAAACATAGGGAACTGTCAGTACTTTCCTTATGTACATACACTGAGACACAAACCCTACCTGGCTGCCTATGTCAGAAAATTATTGCCTTATACCAGGGGTTCACCACACTCCTTCTACAAAGAAAAATTATGTGTACCTTGAAAATTCTAAAGAAACTACATTTGCATGAGGAGCTGAATAATGTAATCCCTTTGACACTATTTAGACCACGAGACTTATAATTTTACAAATTATTGTTGTGAAAATTAAACTCCCTGCTTTTCTTTTCTCTCAGGTTTGGATACAATGCACCAGGCACTGAATACATTAAGTAACAAAACCTTGCATTAGCTTGGTTGAACCTCAGCAGCCTGCTCAAACTCAGTTTTAAGACAAATTCAAAGATGCTTCTTAGAATTAAAATCAACATAATGAGGTAAACATTATAGATTTGTTTCTTTAATAAGCATTGTTATCCATAATTAAAATCCACAATTCCACACTTTAATACGAGTTATATAATAACTGATCTAGTCTGCATATTTTGCCATGTTGCTACAGGTATGCTGGCTTTGGTTCTAAGCCACGTACTCAGGTAGCTGTAGACAGTGATGCTGTACTTACCACCAGTGCTAGAACGAGAGTCCGCACCTTCTCCCCAATCTCTGGTGAGATGTCATTGCCAAACTGCTGTAGCGTGGTAAGGAAGCGTTTCAACTTGCTGAGCTGCCGAGCACCACAAGTGGCTGGCAACTGTTGATTTGTTAGTGCAGATGATGTGGAAGAGGCAGGCCCATTGCTGAATCTCTGTGGTGGTGATGGGGCACCATTCAGGGTAGGAGGAGAATGGTTGATGCCATTGCTTACTAAAAAAAAGCCAAAATGAAAGACTGTTTAAGTGCAAAACACATGGATCTTTGTTAATTTCTTCCTGTTTGCATTAACCTTCGTTTATTCATCTGAATTTTGTAAAGCATATATTAAGAATATACAAGAAAGAGTTTCTGCTCTCAGTGAGACTACTACATAGTAAAACAGATTACCAGGTCAAAAACGATAACAGATTAACACAGATGTGTTAAAATAGAAGAGTATGGAGTGCTGTAAGAGCATGGAGAAGGGATACCTAACTACAGTTGCTATGGACTGGGGTAGGTAGTGTTAACATTTCCTGCAACAGGTACTGCAGCAGCTGAGTCTGGTAGGATACATATTTCTAGTGGACTCAACATTTATGCATTTGCATTTATGCACAAATGCGCATCTTTAATGTTACATCTCCTTCCTGATCTTGGGGTTCCAAAGAAGATAAGGAATCAGTTACAATGTAGCATGGGAATAGATAACCAGAAAAGAGAGAGTTCTGTTAAAGTGAGAAATGTTTTTTCTAGGCTATAGATTTAATGACCTATTTCTGCAAAAAGGAATATAAGTATGTATCTCTTAGACCATTCAGAATATTCGTGCCCATCACAGTCAATTTTTCTCTGTTCCAACAGTGCGATATTAATAGTGCCAGATTCTTGATCATTCAATTAAGCACTTTTCTAGACACCACACAGGACACACTAATTCTCTATTTCTGCTCATATTATAATATATGTGATTAATTACAGTTTACTTTTTTCCCATTGTTCTTAGTCATTTCTTGCTAGTTTCAATGTGGAATACCACCCTAAAACTAAGTACTTGGTGGTATTAAGTAAAAATTTCTTTCTTCTGAAGGGTGAAATAAAATTACCTGGTGCCTAAGTGTCAATAGATTTTCACTTAATCATACCTAGGCTTAAAAATCTAGGAGGGTAAAACTAAAACATATGTCTAAGACATGAGAAACAAATTAAGTCAAGACTTAAGCCAAATTTAAAGAGCCCAATTATTTAATGTTTACCTAACTTAGAAAACTGACATTTACTTATATTGGGCTTAACATCAAGTCATTAATCGTGAAAAATCTTCCACTTCCCTTCTTCTGCCTCCATGCCAATCATAGTTGGTCAGCCATACTGTTCCTACTCCTTGACTGACCTGGATTCAGAATTGATCTGGCCAACTTTTCCTCATCCTATGTATGCTCAGATATCACCTGTATTAAGAAACATTCTTTAACAGATTCTGTGGCACCACATTAAGGTAAACCCTGGTAGATTTAATAACTCTTCTCTGCTGCCTATAGATGCTTCCATTATGGGACCTACTTACTTTTTCTATATTTGCACTGTCTTAACAGACTGTGCACTCCTTTTTCTTTCTTTTTAACGTTTATATTTGAGAGACCAAGAGAGACAGAGAATGAGAGAGCAGAGAGAGGGGAAGATACAGAATCTGAAGCAGGCTCAGGCTTTGAGCTATCAGCACAGAGCCTGACACGGGGCTTGAACCCGAACTCTGTGAGATCATGCCCTAGGCCGAAGCTGGATGCTCAACTGACTGAGCTACTTAGGTGCCCCAAGACTGTGTACTTTTTAATGAACACTATGTTATATATCCGTATATACTATACTAAGTTTTGTAGATTGTGTATACCATACATATATTGGCTTTGTTCATTAGCTAGCAAAGCTTAAGCTTAAGAGGAAAAAGCTGCTGAATGATTCACTACATAAAAGACTAACAGGCAAATTCTCTTCTATATCTTCCATTAAAAGAGATCACTAGAGCTACTGGAAAGGAAAGCTCAACACTCAACCTCAGCAATTGAGAAAATTAGTTGCAGTGGTCTGCTGTTTCTTTGTGTTCACAGAAAGGTCAATTGCCATTGGAGAGCTGCCCCTTTTGAAGCAACCCATAAACAGAATATATTACTGTGCTTTTAGCCATGCTGCTTTTTCACAATCTCTTCAGTGAAAGCATATGAGCACATCTTCCAAAATAAAAACTTCCACCACCAAGTAGTCAAATATGAAGGTAAAAAGGGCTAAATTTATGTATATATATTCCTATTGTCTGTGTCTTGAAATCTGAATGACAGCCTAGGTTTAAATCTGTTCATTTCAAGATAGCACCTATATCTAAGGATGCAGAACTCTGAAATAGAAAACAGAATTTTAAAAAGGATATAAAACTTCATTTTATTTCCTTGGGTCAGACGGCTATAGTAGCTATTCAATTTCAAATGTTTTGAAATATAATAATTAAAACTTCAATTAAAGCTGTACCTCTTAGACTCTCCTCTTGCCTTTTAAAATAATAAACACAAAAAACATAAATGCTTGAGCAAAGGTAGTATGTAAGTTTATGTAAAAGCATTTAAATAAGAAAATGCATATAGCACCTAGCAGAGTGCTCTGATGCATCATGGGCACTCCATAAACACCAAGTTATTCTGCTCAGCGAGGAAGAGTATCTGTGAGAGTCAACATGCATGGGCATAGAAAAGCAGAAAAATTCAGATTAAAATCTAGACATATAAAGAGGTGCCTGGGTGGCTCAGTCAGTTAAGTTTCCAACTTTGGCCTGGGTCATGATCTGGAGGTTCATGAGTTCAAGCCCTTCATAGAGCTCTGTGCTGACAGCTGAGTCTGGAGCCTGACTTTGGATCTTCTGCCTCTCTCTCTCTCTCTGCCCCTTCCTCACTCACATTCTGTTTCTCTGTCTCTCAAAAATAAATACTAAAAATTTAAAAAATCTAGACATGTATGTAAGGCTAGATTTTAACCTGGGTCTTCTTTTGATTTTTGTGTGTTTAACTATACATACAGAACTAACTGATGAGTTACAGGGTTTTTGAAAATTCAATTTTACTAAATACTACCAAATAATATTCTCACACTCAAACAATATAAGAGTGTTCAGGTAGCTCACCACATGCTCACCAAAGCTTGATACTATTTTCCATTTTGAACATTCTGGTAGTACACACTGGATTTTATTTGAATTAACTTGATGCAAGGTTGAATATTTATTATATATTTATTGGCTAATTTTTTTTTGTTTTCCAATGTTTGTTTATATCGGTGGGGGAGAGAATCCCAAGCAGGCTTCACATTGAGTACAGAGCTGTATGTGGTGCTTCATCCCACAACTGTGAGATCGTGACCTGAATCGAAATCAAGAGCTAGACATTTATTTTATTTTTTTTTTTTAATTTTTTTTTTAATGTTTTATTTATTTCTAGGAGAGAGAGAGAGACAGCGTGAGCGGGGGAGGGTCAGAGAGAGAGGGAGACACAGACTGAAACAGGCTCCAGGCTCCGAGCTGGCAGTCAGCACAGGGCCCGACGCGGGGCTCGAACCCACGAACCGCGAGATCATGACCTAAGCGAAAGTCGGACGCTTAACCGACTAAGCCACCCAGGCGCCCCAAGAGCTAGACATTTAACTGACTGACTCATTCAGGCGCCCCTGCACTAATGTAGTTCTTATAGACTGAATTATGGCCCCCACAAACTCCTATGTTGTAGTTCTAATCCCCGACATCTCAGAATGTGACTGTATTTGGAGACACAGCCTTTAAAGATTAAATGAGATAATATGGGTGGCTCCCTAATCCACTATGAAAATTGTCCTTACGAGAGGAAAAGACAGCAGGTATCTACATCCACAGAGGCAAGCACATAGGAGGACTTAGCAGGAAGGGTGGCCATTCCTGCAGCCAAGGAAAGAGGCCTCAGAAGAAACCAAACCTGCTGACACTGTGACCCTGGACTTCTATCTCCAGAGCTGTGAGTTTCAGCCAGCCCTTCTGCGATATTTTGTTGTGGCAGCCCTAGCAAACTAAGACGACATTCATTCTCTTTTGTCAACAGCTTTACCATGGTAGTCCTCAAATAGTTTTAGAAGTTGTTTGATAATTATATGAAACTTACTTTGATTCCTATAAATAAATATAATAATTTAAACTCATTTTGGAGCCAAGAAATTAAAATAGCTACTTAATAGCCAGAGTATGAAAACAAAATATTTAGATCACTAAATTTTCAAATTTCTAAATTAGCTAAGTACTATTCTCAGAGGGCAAAACCAATTTATAAAACAAATAACCATATGTGTGTGTGTATATGTGTATGTACATATGTGTGTGTATACATATAAAATACCGTACAGCTATTTTGAAAATGTTGAATAGTATATGCAGAAGGCTTAATAGCAGCCAGTCACTTAGATTGAAATGTCACCCTGACCCACAAACCCAAGTAAATTAAGAGGTCTCACATGCTGTTGGAGTAAATGACACTGGCCTAGGTCCTCCGGGATTTATTGGTGGGAGGGGTGGCATGGTGGGAGGTGAGGATCTTGACTGTATCTTCACTTCCACAGGCGATCCAGGCATTGCTGGCACTCTTTTCTCAGCACCAACTAAAGAGAATAAAAGGAATGGAAGTCAGAGTTTTCTAAAAGATGATAAAAATTTTGACAATAACTTAAAATACCATCATATTTTTCTAGAGGACTGAGAAGTTTAAGAATGCTTATTTGAATAGGCTGAATGGATGCCCCTCAAAAGGGATCTACAGTAGTTCCCTCTCAGCCAGTTCCACTTTCTAGGGTTTCAGTTAACTGTGGCCAACCATGGTCTGGAAACACATGATCCTCCTGATGGATAGTCAGAAGTTTAAGAGTAGCCTAACATGAGGTAAACATGCCCATGTCATTCACCTCATCATGCAGGCATTTTTGTTGTCTCACATCATCCACATTATCACAAAAAGAAGGGTAAGTACGGTACAATAAGATATTCTGATAGAGGGGGAGAGTTGGGGGAAACCACATTCACATAACTTCTATTACACTATATTATTATAATAGTTTTATTTTATTTTCATTTATTGTTAATCTCTTACTGTGCTTAATTTATAAAGTAAGTTTTATTACAGGTATGTGTGTAGGAAAACACATAGATGTGTATAGCATTTGGTACTATCTGCAGTTCCGGAAATCCACGGGGGTCTTAGAATATATCCCCTGTGGTTAAAGGATGGGGGGGTGGGGGAGGACTACTCTCACTACCTTGAACTGTGAATATGTGCTTATTTGGAAAAAGGGTTTTTGAAGACGTAGCTAAGGATCTTGAAAGGAGATCATCCTGGATTATCCAGGAGGACTCCAAATCCACTATGAATGATATTCTTCTTCTAAGAAGGGCTGAAGAGACACATACACAGAAGGAAGACAACATGAAGACGGACGTAGTTGTGCAATGCGACAATGATGGCAGAGACCGGAGTGATGCATTTATACACCAAGGAATGCCAAGGACTGTCAGCAACTACCAGAAGCTGGGAGACAGGTATGGACTAGATTCTTCCTCAGAGGTCCCAAGAAAGACTCAACCCTACTTATACCTTGGTTTTGGACTTCTGCCCCACCCCCACCCCCAAACAGTGAGAGATTATTGTTGTCTTAAGCCACCCAATTTGTGACCTTTGTTATGACAATCATAGGAAACTAAAACAAGCCAGTAAGATCAAAGGGTAACATGACCTGAAAGTTCACAGTGAGGATAGTGGCTGAGAAAGGAAGAAACCAGGTTACAAATTCAGCTTATCTCAAATGCATTGTTTTTTGACTCTCTTTATAAATTCATCAAATAATGGGGGAGCGAAGGGGGGCGGGGGGGGAGCTAACATGGGACTATCTAGACCAGTAGGCATCAATTGCATGGCATGGAAATAGAATCATAATCAGTTGTATATAAATTACCACAAATGACAAAGTACTAAATTTTTATATATATCAACTATGGTAAGCAGGAAAAAAGAGGAGGAGTCAACATCCCTGGCACCAATCACGAAAATGTCATTTATGATGTACAGTATCCAAAAAAATGAAAAGTAGAGCTGAATCTAAATGAGGCACAGGCTAGTTCACCAGGGGGACAATTCATAAGCAGCTGTTTGATAACGGCAGAGAACAACAAATTCCAGAAAGAGAAATTTGACAGTTTTAAAATTAATGACATTGTAAATAGGTCTGGGCTAATATCAACAGGACTGGAGCAATATTCTAACAGCTTCAGTTATTTTTCCCCATTAAAGAGAACATGTTACATATTTGGTTAATAGGGCCAGGGGCACCATAATCATCTTTAAACTGAACTATGTTCCTCTCGGTAACTCCAGCTTTTCAATTAAGCGCCATGTATTTATTCTCCAATTACTGCTGAATTCAATTTAAAGTACAAGAAAAGGATACACCAAAGGTACAAATGAGAATGTTAAATCAAAGATTTCTTTCTGTGAGATCATAGCTATAAACACAATACATTCATGACACTGGCAAAGAAAAAAAAAAAAGCCCATCTCTGCACATTCATGAGCATGCTCTAATGAGGAAAATATCACCAAATATTATTTTTATGCTTCAGTGTGCACTGGTCATATTTTGGAAAGAGAGCTAATGAATATATAAAGTCTATCAAGTAATGTCCTCAAGTTACAAAAGCCCTGACAAAAATGTGCAGCACTCTGAGAGCCATGTGGGCAACACTCTGCCAGCTCTTCCCATCTCTCTGTCCAGGACATTTTCTTTGTGAAATTGACGGTCGTCCTGTCTGATTAGTGGACTAATGAGCTGTTGCGTTTGCCTTTTTCTTCTTGACAGTATTTTTTTCAATGCCCTTCAGAGAATGGTTGACATGTTTCCAGCTCTTCCATCTGGGGCCCAGCTTTCTGGAGGGTGGGGGAGAGGGGAAGGAAGGAACTGACAGTTGTCTCGCACTATAATGTGTTGTGTATAGTGTGCAACAACCTAGAGGGAGCCTTTCTTCAGACCACCTGCCTTTACAGCAAGGGCGCCAAAGGCCTGAGGAGGACTTAACAGCAAGATGTGTTTTAACATTCAGCACTTGGCAGAATGAAAAACTGAGGAGCCCAACTGCAGAACACTGAATTATACACTACTGAAAGCTCAGATACTGGGCAAAACCCAGCCACAGAGTACTGTTTACAAATTAAAACTACCCATATCTTTGGTTCACATCACTACTCATAAACCTGCAACACTAGTGTTCTATCTCATGTTCAATAACATCGACTAGTAGAAAAAACATGGGTATGGAGACTGAGAAATTTAATGTGAATTCTCACTCTGTTACAACCTACGTGACTTTTATCAAATCCCATTTCGCCTTTCTGGGCCATTTTCAACAAATGTCAAATAAGAAGTAATAAGACCTACCTGGTAGGAAACAGATAAAGGTAAGAAATAATGCCTAGACTAGTGCCAGGTTAGAGAAGGTACTCAGTAAATAGAAATGATGATTGGAAACTGGGAAGCCTTGTGTCAAGTTCTGGATATACCACCTAACTAGCTATGTGACCATGACTGAGTTAATATTTGATTTCCATAGAAAATGGGTATACTATCAACAGTTAATCCATCTAACCTCAGCGATATTACATGGAATGATTCAAAAATTAACAGCTGCAAAAGCACCAAGTACCATGTAAGGGGGTATTTTTATTGGAGGCTGGGTGGCATGAAGACACTTCATGCTGTGAGATCTATCCAAGTGGTTTATAACCTAACAATACAGCAGCTGCTCAGATGGTGGATAAGGGGTACATTCCAGAGTAGGCATTTTAGCCCTCTGATTGTTGGCCATGCCATGCCTTTATGTCATCACTGTTACAGTGACTTCATTTCTGAATTTTTATGGAACAGATACTCATGTTTTATATTCTAGCTGAATTCCCTGAAAGAACCAACCATATCTTGAGCTCTTTTCAATGCCAGGGAACCTTAGATACAGTGCAAAGAGAATAAATTCCTTTCTCTCAATTGGGACTTTGAGCCCATAAACACCACTGCTTGGATTATCAAAGAGAAATAAAGTCTTCAGTCCAAGAAAATCAAAATAACCCTTCTTTTTGTCATAAAGGTTCAACTTGATCCTAAACAAAGATTTTTAATATTCAAAGTAACTGATTTAGTCACCGAGTCTGTGCTTTGGTTATTTTGAAGACTTAGGTATATTTCGCTTAAAAAATAAAACTCGAGGGGCACCTGGGTGGCTCAGTCAGTTAAGCATCCTACTTCAACTCAAATCATGATCCTGCGGTTCGTGGGTTCGAGCCCTCCATCAGACTTCCTGCTTTAGTGCAGAGCCTGGAGCCTACTCAGATCCTCTGCCTCCCTCTCTCTGCCCTACCCCTGCTCCAGTGGGCACATGTGCTCTCTCTCAAAAATAACACCTAAAAAATAATAAAACTCAAACATATGACCGCATGCATTTCCAATATCACTATTGGAACGAAGAAGAGCAAACATGAAAAAGCTCTGGAAACATGTCTGAATAATGATGTTAGTTCTCCCTCATGCAATAAGCTATGGATATCATGAAAATAGAAAACTGATGAAAGAGAGAACACAATAATGAACGGCTCCTCTGTGTGACAGCAGAGCTTTTCTTCTCAATAGGAATTGGAAGAATCAGACATGAAACTAAAGAGTAGAACTATTCTATAAGAGAAGTAATACAGAACATAAACACAAGCATCCCAGATAAATGTTACTTGAGAAGAATCCTGTACGTTAAATTGCCCAAAAATAAAAGTATTGACAAAGCATTATAAACTACTTTTACTTTTTTTTTTTTTTTGGGTTGTAGAATGCCTTATGAAAGGCATGGATTTATTTATTTTTTTTTAATTTTTTTATTTTATTTTTTTTTATTGTTTTTTTTTTCTTACAAATAGTTTATTGTCAAATTAGTTTCTACATAACACTCAGTGCTCATCCCCAAAGTGCCCTCCTCCATGCCCATCCCCCCCTCCCCCCCACATCCATCAGTCCTCAGTTTTTGTCAGCATTCAAGAGTCTCTCATGGTTTGCCTCTCTCCCTTTCCCCCACCATTTCCGCCCTTCTTCTCCCCCTTGTTCCTCCGTCAAGTTCCTCCGAATCCTCCTATACGTGCAAACATATGATATTTGTCCTTCTCTGCCTGACTTATTTCGCTCAGCATAACACCCTCAAGGTCCATCCATGTTGCTACACATGGCCAGATTTCATTGTTTCTCATTGCCATGTAGTATTCCATGGTATAGATAAACCACATCTTCTTGATCCATTCATCTGTTGATGGAAACTTAGGCTCTTTCCATGTTTTAGCTATTGTGGAGAGTGCTGCTATGAACATTGGGATACATGTAATCCTATGCATCAGCATTTCTATATCCCATAGGTAAATTCCTAGCAGTGCTATTGCTGGGTCATAAGGGAGTTCTATTGTTAATTTAATGAGGAACCTCCACACTGTTTTCCAGAGGGGCTGTACCAGTTTACATTCCCACCAACAGTGTAGGAGGGTAGGGGCAGAGAGAATCTTAAGCAGGCTCTGCACCATTAGCGAGAAGCC